TAAAAACAAAACTATATAAATAATTTATCCGCGTGTACGCGGGAGAATCACCTAGTTTATTAGTTATATATATGAGCAAACTACATGCCTTTTTAACCTTAAAAAAAGAGGCAAACTACATGCCGTTTTTTTGTTGCCTGAAACGACATTGTTTCCGAGTCATTTCTCTACTTCATTTCCTATCCCCAACCCTATCGTGTTTGTTTCGTACAAAACCTGTAAAACCCTCTCTACACTGAACAAAGCTTTCATTCTTCACCTTACAGGTCAAAGATATGTCCTTGAAGTTCCCTCTCGGTGTACGCTTCATCACTCATTCTCTTCCTTGTACTCGTCTCGCTTCCATGAATTCCGGCGCACTAATCTATTCCTTCCGCTCTGTTCCTGTTCTCTCTAAAGCCTTTCCTTTTAGGTTAAAATACCTTGGATTAGGAACCCGGGTCAGTTTCTCTACCCGACCCGAGAGAACCCGAACCGAATTCCAGAGGCGGGGTCGAGACGGAGGGGAGATTCGCGTGTCCAAGAGCTTGATTGAGGATGAAGCAGAGCTCAGTGATTGGGTAAGCGATTTGAGGCCTAGTTCGTTGCGTGGGAAGTTCACGAGCGACGAAGATGAGTCGGATCGAGAGGTGGTTCGTAGAAATGTAGACAGGGATAACAGTAGAGGTCCGAGGAGGGGAAAGGAAGGCCAGTTTGGTGGTCCGAAAAGGGGAAATGAAGGTGGCATTGATAGATTTGGGGGTTCGAACAGGAGGAGAACTAGTGACGAGCCGGGTGAGTCGTTTAGGAACAAGCGGTTTGGTGATCGAGACGGTGCAAGGAACGGTCGGATTCAAGGGAAGAGTAGTGATTCGTCTCTTCGTGGAAGGAACGAAAGAAATGTAGATTCAGGATTTAGGAGAGAGCGAGGTTTGGAAACAAACAAGGGATTGGGGAAACAGACTAGAGGTTTAAGACAGGAAGAGGAAGATAGTAGTGACGAGGACGAGAAGACGGGAGTATTGGGAAGCATTGATGATTTGCTTAGTGAAGATAGTAGTGATTATGACGAAGAAGATGACGAGCCTATCGTTATTAAAGGGGTTTCTTCTAAAGCTGTAGAGGCTGATAAGCCAAGGACTGAAAATGCTAAAACTTCAGATTCTTACTTGTCGAAGGCAAGGTATGTTATTTGTAACTTAAGCCGCAATTGTTTTGTGAATTTAGTTTCCTTGTGTGTTATACAATTTAGTTTCCTTGTGTGTTATACTTATAGATTATCTTTGAATGTAGAAGATTGCTTCTTCTGTATGTGACTTGCTTTGACTACCCTTTTAGTGCTGTTTGATTGAGAATACTCTTTATGGTTAAATGGTTTACAGGTTTGATCAGTTCCCATTGTCTCCCTTATCGCTAAAAGCCATCAAGGATGCAGGATTTGAGACAATGACTGTTGTGCAGGAGGCTACTCTTCCTATCATTCTCAAAGGTGAAATTTTTCTTTCTTTCTCATGAGAGTTGTTTGCGAGGCAGAAAAAGAAAAAGACCATGATTAGAAATGTAGTGACGATTTCTAATTGACAGCATCTCAAAAGCTTTTACAGATCACTTAGTAATAGCCAATAGGTATTTCAAAGAAAACCCAGAGACTTGTGTATCATTTCCTCGAATTTGTCATGACTTCCCTTTGTAGCTTGATTGATTTGTTTAAAAATTCCTTTAATGTTTCCTCTTTAACTCCTTGGTTTCTTCCGTGCTTTGTTTTCCAGGTAAAGATGTCCTAGCCAAGGCCAAAACAGGCACTGGGAAAACAGTTGCATTTTTGGTGAGACATTCTACCCTCTTGGTTCATGGATATAAGTTGGTCAGTTAGGAATTGATCGGTCTTCAATTGGGATTTGTTCTTATCGTTTATGTTTATATTTCAAGCTTCCAGCAATTGAAGCTGTAATAAAATCTCCTCCTGCAAGCCGGGATATTAGGCAACCCCCAATTGTTGTGCTTGTGGTATGTCCTACTCGGGAACTTGCTTGTCAAGCTGCTGCAGAAGCAAACACCTTGCTGAAGTATCACCCATCTATTGGTGTTCAAGTTGTTATTGGAGGCACAAAGCTTCCTACAGAGCAAAGGCGTATGCAAACAAATCCTTGCCAGGTAATAAGAGATTTCTTTTGCCACTCCATGTGTATTAATGTTAAGTTGATTGTGATCAAGTCTTGCACATCCTTTAAGCTGGGCTTCTTAGATGGCTGCAGCTACAGTAAGCCGCGTCTATATATTGTTGAATAATCACATATTTCATATTTGAGCACTCTCAGATCCTTGTGGCTACACCTGGAAGGCTCAAGGACCATATTGAGAATACTTCTGGATTTGCAACTAAGTTGATGGGTGTGAAAGTCCTTGTGCTTGATGAAGCTGATCATCTCTTGGACATGGGTTTCCGAAGGGATATTGAGAGGATAATAGCTGCTGTTCCTAAGCAGAGACAAACATTTTTATTTTCTGCCACGGTACCTGAAGAGGTAAGTGTTAGTTTCTTGCACAGAAGGCTCTCATTTTGGGTTGGAATCTTGAATTGTGTTTTCTGGTGTCTAGGTCCGCCAGATATGCCATATTGCTTTGAAACGGGATCACGAGTTCATCAATTGTGTTCAAGAGGGTAGTGGGGAGACACATCAAAAGGTTAAAGATTGCTCTTTCGGTTCATTTACATAATAGGCCTGCCATATGATTGGATGTTATCGGTATCTCATGTCGATTTTATCTTCCAGGTCAAACAAATGTACATGATTGCATCACTGGATAGACATTTCTCGCTTCTATATGTGCTTCTTAAACAACACATTGCAGATAATGTGGACTTTAAGGTAAAATTGTTCCTCTACTGCCATTTTTAGTCACCAATGGATTTTCTGAACTAACACAATCTCCTTCTTGCTGCAGGTTATTATTTTCTGTACAACTGCTATGGTTACAAGATTGGTGGCTGATCTGCTTGCTCAGCTAAGCATGAACGTCAGAGAGATCCATTCTAGAAAACCGCAGGGATACAGAACCAGAGTTTCTGATGAGTTCCGCAAGTCCAAGGGTATTATCCTCGTAACATCAGACGTATCTGCTCGTGGTGTCGATTACCCTGATGTGTCACTAGTCGTACAGGTAAACCATATAGTAGCCTTCCATCATAAAATTGAGCCGCAACTACAATGATAATCGTTTTTACTGAAGTTGTTGTGTATATGTTGGTTTTGCAGATGGGATTGCCATCAGACAGGGAACAATACATACATAGACTTGGCAGAACCGGGCGAAAAGGTAAGGAAGGGGAAGGTGTACTATTGTTGGCACCATGGGAAGAGTACTTTCTATCTTCCGTTAAAGACTTGCCCATCAACAAGTCTACCCTACCTCCAATAGACCCTGAGGCTGTGAAAAAGGTAAGCTTTGGTTTGGAACCTGTATGCAAATGCTAATGTTAGAATAGTCACATAACACGAACCTCGATGAAGTCAAAAGCTAAGATCTTCAAGAGTATTGATGGGAAACTTGTTTGTGGAATTCAGGTGCAGAGGGGGCTTAGCCAAGTGGAAATGAAGAACAAGGAGGCGGCATATCAGGCGTGGTTGGGTTACTACAAATCTCAGAAGATGATTGCAAGAGACACGACCAGACTGGTGGAGTTAGCGAATGAGTTTAGCCGGAGCATGGGACTTGACGTCCCACCAGCTATCCCAAAAAATGTTCTTGGCAAGATGGGTCTCAAAAACGTTCCTGGCCTTAGAACCAAGTAGATT